ATGCCGGCAGCTTGGAGCGGTGAAAACTAGTTTCTGCAATGGCCAGTTTTGAGAGCCTGTCTGATGGGCAATTTTAGAGAGACTGTAAACGGAATACAAACCAAATATGGGGTGTGTATCAGATACTCGTTACCTTCGGGTCCCAGGATGAAAAATAGAGTGAACACTGATTAGTTGTGCTGGTGGCGCTAGGCACAGAATGGATACTTTTTTCATTTTATATATATTTTTTGTTACTTATGACAACTTAGAGCAAATATTTTAGATTAAAGGGAAAAAGAATTATTGATCTTTAATGGATGCTGCAGTTTTATTCAAAGTGATCATAATGGCACATACTGGTACATTGATATAGTCTTACCAACCAATGTGCTGATACCAGAGGTAGCAACTAAGTACTTTTTAGACAGCATTCATTGCTCTCTTGGTCATTCATTTTACCTCACTCTTTGGGGGTGGACGCCCTGTGTGTGTGGACTTGTTCCTCTATACCTATCAGATTCAAAGATTATAAATGAAACTGGAAATAATTGTAGCTACAGTTATTTTCTGGTTGCTTTAACCAAACATTTGAAAATACCCTTGCAGACCTAAAGGCTCCCTAGTGTCAAAGTGAGCAGTATGCAGTTTCTAGCTTGTTAAAATTTTCATCATTCAAGTCTTTTCAAATGTTTGGTTAAAGTGAGCAAAAATATAATTGTAACTGTCATGATGATGATGATGGTGATGATGATGATGATGATGATGATGATTTTGTCTTTTTTGAGACAGGGTCTCGCTATGCAATTCAGGCTGCCAATGAGCTCACTTTGTAGCACAGGCTAGTCTTAAACTCGCAACGATCCTCCTGCCTCAGCCTCCTGAGTGCTGGGATTACAGGCATGCACCACCATGCCCGACTCAATTATTTAAAGATTGTATATTCTATAAGCCCTGAGTAGTGAGCTTATCCAGTCATGACATGTCTTCTTAATAAATATATCCAGTAATCAGTTTTGCAATTTTTCCAATTTATCTCTTAGCCAGTTTATCTAAAATGATTTATTTTTGGTTTTCATTATAACCTTTGGGTCAGACGAGTATGAGGAGGAACAAGTTTGGACAGGTAAGTCATCCGCCCAGGAGTGTAGCAGACCCTCAGTGCCTGCCGTCCAGAGGCGGCTGGTGTCTGTCCACACTTTGACTTCTTGGCTCTCTCCTTTAGGCTTTCAGCCGGAAAGCCACAACTGATCTCTGACGTGTAATAGGTGCAGACAGCCCAAGTATTCTGTGAGCGCCTATGCAGGCTACAAGGCTATGCAGGCTACAAGCAAATGCTACTCAAGTAGCCTGAAAGTCTGTGTTTCAATTCTATGAGGTACAGCAATGGCAGCAATATTAAAAGTTCAGCAAATGCTGGCTGATATTCTTGTGTACGTAGGACTAATCTACATTACTGGCATATATCTAAATCTGTTAGAAGGTCATTGGATTTACATTGCAGACCTGCTATTAACTTGAGTAAGTTACTTAAACCCACTGTGCCCTGGTGTCCTTTTTCTGCAGAACAGTGCTCATAAGGTTGAATGAAGTATTACCAGTGTAGGCCTTTGATTTGAACTTGGCATGTAGTGAAAACTCAGATTAGAGATGGTGCTTAAGAAGTGCTGAGAAATATTCCTTCCATTTTTTCAAGTGAAGAGGCTGAGGTTTTGAGAGATTCTTCCAAAGTACAAGAGCTGTACACTGCTGTGGTGCTGCAGTGTCCCTCTGAACATAGTTCTGAGAGGCGGCCTGTCAGTCTTGAGTGTGGTATTCACAGCTCTTGTTCTGCCACTGCCTCAACATGACTGAGCATTCAGCACTGATTATAATCTGACGTCTCCTTTGGGAAAACGAGGAGCCAGAGTAACCCTGCCTTGATTGCAGGGCATGATACACCCAAGACATCCAGTTATGTACTCTGGTCTGGTAGTACGGTAAATATACAGTGCGTCTATATGATTTTTCCTATTAAGCTCCCTGCAAAAGTGTAGCTAATAGCAAATAGTGAGTTTACTCAGAATTTAAAAAGTAGAAATAAGAGCAATGCTGGCCGCAGGCAGCTGTGTTCAAGGAAGAGCTGTGCTTCTTACTGGTATAGTAAGTACTTAAGTCAGTTTGTTGAGCTGTAAAATAGGTGTAATAGTGCATTCTTCTTGCTTTTTTTCTTAAAAATATCTGGCCAAATACACATAGTCTTGCCACACATTAAATTTTCAAGGCATGCTAATTATTACTGTTTTCATTTTAATGCTAGAAACACAGTTTGTGCTGGAGAGATCCTAAAACATTAGAGACAGTAGGGTTAAGAACATAGGTCAATGGAAGAGTGCTTGCTTAGTGTATGTAAGACCTGTGTTCGGTACCCAGCACCAGAGTGTGAGAGAGAGAAGGAGCGAGGGGTGAGGGGACGGAAGGAAGACAGGAAGGAGTTGATGATTTAGGGAGTTAGTTGCTGTCCAAATGATAGAAGGTATTAGAAATTACTGTGTAAGAAAACTAATAGAATTACTGATATGACTTAATGTGATGCCTTATATTGAATAGAACTGATTTGGAGATTCTTTTTTTTTTTTGGTTTTTCTCCAGTACCGGGAACCGAAGTCACGACCTTGCGCTTGCCAGGCAGGCGCTTTTGCCGCTGAGCTAAATCCCCAGCCCCTGGAGATTCTTTTAAAAATATATTTTAGTGTAAACTTTCTCAGCTTTGGCCAATAGGAGCATTAATGAAACTAAATATGCTAACTAGGTGCCCTGTGGAGAGTACCTGTTGTTATGCTGTGTTTGCCATATAAGCAAGTGGAAATTTGGAAGTCATTAAAAGGCCAGATAGGAACCAGGCTTTAAGTTTGGTCTAAGGCGGAAGGTTTGCGTCTCTGTCTTTGTTCACCTGGACATTCCACATGGGGTTCACTCATCTAGTCTTTGGTAGCAGGGTTACGTTCACCTGTGCTCTTGCTGCTCTGCTTCAGTTGGTTATAAGAACTGCAGCTGGTCTCTGCCTTTGTATTAATCTAAAACTTGCCAACCCAGAGGAAGCAAACATTATTCATTTTCATCTTGCAAAGGCAGAATTTGAGATTTAGAGAAGTTGAAATTTGGTCAATAGCATGGCGCTGGCTAGGGATAAAACTGGGGAGGGCTTCTGTTTTGGTTTTCCTCGTGCTCCGCTCAAGCGTTCCTCGGGGTTTGGCTTGATCTTTGGACTCTTTAATAACAGCCCCAAACCTCGGGGCACCTCTCAGACCGTGGAACTCTGGAGGCTCATGGTGCTCCGATGGCCTAATCCCCTTACTCTAGCTGTGAAGGAGAGAGGTGACCCTCCAGGTCGCCAGAGGCTTGCCCTGCTCACAGTAATGGCCTCTGGCACAGTCAACCCCGCACCAGGTCGTTTTGCTGGGAATCATGGGTTTTTTTTCCCCCACTGAATCAAAACTACTATGTTATGCCTGTGCACAGGGCATCTGCTCCGAGAGTCACAGGGGTGACTCACCCAGATGTAACCTCGCTTCTGTTCTCCTTTCCTTTCCCCAACGTTCACTGGGCTTTGACGGATTTTCAAATGTTGTCCCAGTTTCTCTGTTTAGAGCATACAGAGAGCAAATGGCTGTTCAGCTCTCTTCTACTTTAAAATTCTGTAGCATTTTCTCAGCGTGTAGAGCTAGCGTGAAACATTTTTGTTCATAAAGGGAGTGAAATGCTAAGGCATCAAGGAAACAAAAGTAGGCAGACAGATGGACACGACCTGAATAAGACGTTCATTCGAATTTAGCCTTCATCTTGCTCCCACATCCGCACCTCAGCCCTCTGCATGTACCATGTCAGGTGAAAAAATTGTTCCCTTGGCATCTACATGAAATAGTTACAGTGTTCAGACTAAATAGTTCCCTAGAATTTTTTCTTAAATATAAAATTCAGAGTTTATATTGTTCCTCTGTCACCTCTTCCCATGTATCCCTGCAAAGATTGATGTCAGGACAGTAGTCTGTTGCTGGGATTTTGCTGGACTAGATTGTGTTTCCTTGATCCCTAACTTTAGAGACAGTCTTAAATGGGCAAAAATAATGAAATAAAGCATCAACAGTCACTGGCTTACTCTGACCCCAACTATATAGTAATATAAGCCAGATTTGTTACTGTTCATATTTCCAGTAAATTAGAATCTCAAAGGAGAACTAGGAAATATCACTATTGTTAAAAATGTTAATATACTGAACAAGAAAGCAGATTCGACTTGAGAACATGATACTGAATTCTGTCATAGGTAGATCTCAACCTAATAGATCAATCTACCCTAGCTCATAAATCACTGAAAGTCTCTAATGTAATTTAGAAGAAGTGAAATCTACATGCATGCTTTTTGCTTCCCTCTCTGAAGTGAGAATTTTCCTGAAAGTTTGACTGTGGAACATGACTACGCTGTTGCTAACCTGTTTGTCAGTTGCCGGGCAGTTTTCTCAGTGTCTTCCTGACATGTTTTAACTTGACTTCCTAAGGCATCAGAATGAGGATTGCCCTGTTCTTTATGGTACGATGAAGACTGAGATTCTTTTGATCAAAATGAGGCAATCACGATTGAAAAAAATCATTTCTCGCTTTGGTCTCTTTTTTAAAAATATGGATAAAAGTTTATGAAACATATAGTTTTGTATCTTAGTGAAAAATTAGGGGCATAATAAAGTAACTGTAGCAAAGAAAAAAAAAAATCCAGTAGATGTGAGTACAGGAACTTTCCCAAGTTTGAAGGGACAGTAAGCAGTTTACACGGTCTGGCTGCTGCAGTGGGAAACCATGAAGCCCCGGTGGTCCCATTTCAAAAAGTGATGCCTCCCTTGGAGAGTTTGTGTATATTATTGTCCGCATTGTAATTCCTGCCTTTTCTTCAAACCTCACATTTAAGGAAAAGTATAATGCAGTCCTAATCATGGTAGTATCCCAGCAGCCATGGCTTTTAAGAAAGTAAAAAATTTTTCATTTACCTTTCATCGCGGTGGCTGGCTGTCCATTCACCTGACACGAGTGTCTTCAGGTTGAGACGGGCTTCTCATTTCCCCTGGAGAATAAGCCTTGAAACTAAGATTGGCTAGGCAGTCGACCTTCTGGGGAAGAATAAAAGGTGATCATTTTCTGTCTCCTGCCAGTGAAGATCCGCGCTCCCCTACCCCTCTGAAGGTCGTCCTCTGAGCAGCCCTTTCAGACTCGCCTGGCCAGGAACAAGTGGTGCAACTCGCTCCCTAGATAATGTAAATGACTCACGTTTAGAGTAGGTGAGTTTTGCAGACAGGGAAGAGCATTTCCTGAACCTGCGGGAATCAGCCAGTGGTGCTGACTCACCTGAAGGGCGCACAGAGGGCTGGAGCTCTGCGCCAGAAGTCAGTGAGGAGTGGAGTGAGGTCTGCGGGGTGGCTCTCAGTTACCCATCAGACCCAGTCTTTAAGTCTACCTTTTTTTTTCCATTTTGGGGTTTTCTGTTGCAAATTAGAAATTATGCATTTAAAGTCTTCCTGTTGGTTAAATTCTGGGTTGAAAGGAATACAAGTGTATTTCACGAGAGAGAAAAATTTTAAAAATACTGTAAGTATTTAAAGAAAAGGTTAAAATGTACATCCAGTGGTAGTTGATAGCTTTGGAAACCTCTATTCCTAGTCAAGATTCTGATGAAATCTACAGTCCCATTTTTGCGTGTATGCAAATAGGCATGTTCAAATATTTTATTTTATTTTATTTTATTTTTTTTTTATTTTAAGGATAAAAGGAGGGAAACATTAACAGACATACAACATTTTACAACATATCACAAGCACAATACAGACAATACAGAGTTCCAAACAAAGTGGTAGGGAATTAACAATGGTGGTTGTATTACATATTGATATAAAATTTGTTTTTTTTTTTTTTTTTTTTTTTTTGGTTTTTCTCCAGTACCGGGAACCGAACTTATGATCTTGTGCTTGCCAGGCAGGTGCTTTTTGCCGCTGAGCTAAATCCCCAGCCCCTTGTTCAAATATTTTAAATAAAGTTAACTAAGGGATAGGTTCACTGAGTTCTTTGAATGCTACTTTTCAACAAATCAACTTGTTCTTTTTAAAAAGCATCCCACATATTTGTATCATTCAAGCATTTTTTATTTGTAATTAATTTTAGAATTTTCAGATAAAAATTTCCAAAGATGCTGGTATTTTCTTGAGTGCAACTTTTAAACAAATCAGAAATTTTTTTTTACCAAATCAGGTCAAAACTTATTACTGTGAAAGATGAAGAGAAATAAAAATGATAGTGACAAGTGGAAATATTTTGTAGTTAAATCTATAATAGGCATTATGTAATGTTTACTTAGGCCTTAAGGAGATCATATATTTGTACTAGTTGGTTTTCCTTCTGTGTTTGTACAGAAAAATAAATATGTTGAATTACCAATATTTGGGTATAAAAATTACATTTCTTCTGTAGTCATTTTCTAAACAAACAAAACAGACAACTGTAAGTTTCCATTGTGTGAAGGGTGGAGTGAGCATGTTATGAATAAGTAGATAGTCCTAGGAAAGGTCTCTGAAAAATTAGCCAACTTAATAATGGCTTAATTTTATAAGAAAATTTTCCATATTTGAAACAGCTCTTCATTTAGGTTTGGGTCTCATAATGCTGTTTTTACTTCTTCTCTGTGGACTTTTCCTTTTCACATTTGAGACCAGCTCCGTGCATTTGGAATAGAGGAGTTTTGCGATGGAGCCCTTATTTTGGGAGACTAGCCCTTCTTCCCATGTTATAAATCATGACCCATTAATGGTAAATGATACATCGTTCATAATTCAAAACTAATTCCAGAGCAACTTCTAAGTCTTAAGAGCCTCATTTTAAAGGGAAATCATCCCTGGTAGCCCCCTTAAAAGTAGGTGGAACAAAGACCTTCTCTGCAAATTCTTAGGATCATTACCCTAGATTTTAGTTGGTATGTGAGTCATAATGGGGGAGCTTATAGAGGCAAATATTAGGCTTATAAGAGTAAAGAGAGTTCTGTTATATACTTTGAATTTTAGTACATTAATTGCCTAGGTTGACTTCGTTTTATTAGGGTCAGTTAAGCTTAATATTGACATTTTCACTTTAAGGAAAATGCCTGTTCAGCAAGTTTGCTGGTGGTTTTTATATACTTTTTATTTTGAATTTGAAAGCGAAATGTTTTGGTAATTTAGGATTTCATGTCACGGTTTAACCATGTCTTTAAAAAAACCTGTGAAACAGGTAGACAGTGTAAAATGATTATGATAGGCCCTTGTACTTGCAAAGAAGGACCTTCATATATACTGAAGCACTTCACTTTGTGTATTGATTGTGGGGATGATGGGGTATGTGCCTTGTCCTAGGGTGAGCTTGGGAAAGAACAGGACTTGCCCTTCCTTAATAGGTAAATTGTGTGTGTGTGGGGGGGCGGAGGACTGTAATTTAGTACCACTTTGGGTGGTGGTGCCAATGAAGTTTTGTAATAAAAAAGTTAACATGAGGCAGGCTTTATGTGTTAGTCTTCAAGTATTTTATGCCATTGTCAAGTTAGAACTTGTTAAAGCTGATTGTACCTAACATTCAAAAAAAGGGAAGTAGTGCACGTTTAGTCATGAAAAAAGTGTAGCACTTTGACAAAAAGAGCAGTCAGCAACCAGCTCATAACTTTGTTATTGTTCCCATCATTGAAAGGTAAACTGGCATAATTTTTTCTGCTGATTTTTATAGCAAGTCTCATATTTCATAAAAGCTCCAGGAGGATTTATAGCAATAATTAAAGTTAAATGCGGAGTAACTCTTTTCATAATATTGTTTAGTCATTACAAATCTCAAATTTATTTTGATTATAGGACAACATCCTCTGTGTGTGTGTGTTTCTGCCACCACAGTACTTAAAACAGTTTTTTCTTTTTGGAGCTAGGTGTAACTGTATTGCTGCTGACATTATTTTTAAGCCTTTAAATCTATGTACAAGTCAAAAGAACTTTCCGACTGGATTCTTCTCTATTTACAAATTATTACCATTTAAAAAATATACCCCCCATGTACTTTGGGAATGCGTTTGAAGTAACAGTCATTGTCCTTCTGCTTCAGCATGTATTTCCCAAAAACAAAGATCACTTACCTTACACTACTATTATCAGCCTGGATGTTAATGTTGAAAGGGTAGTATTGAAAAGTTTGCATTAAAAATCTGCCAGTTTCCCAATAGTATCTTTTATGAATTCTTTTTTTGCTGTGGAATCTAGTGAGTCCTCACGTACTGCTTAGTTTTATGGTTTTTAGAGCCTTCTATTCCTAATATCCCTCTGCATTTTTTTGTCTTTCTCTTAAATCTTCTTGCTTTGAAAATTAGTTTTCATCTGCATTTGCTAGGTCCATCCTGTGGAACATATAGCAAGCGGATTCTTATATATTCCTGAGGCAGTCAGAACATACCACATTGGGGTCTACATTGAAGTTTACATTGGGGTTTCGAGTTTTGAAGTCTAATAGGAATCTATAGTTTTGCTTTTGGACATAAGCCCAGTTCCTAGATGATTAGTTGAAAAGTCAGTAGGACCAAACTCACTTTTTGTTTGAGGTATTTGAACGGCTCATGTAACTTCTTAGTGTGTACAAGATGAAGATTCTGGTTTCATCACAGAAATTTGGACAAGTTGCTCATAACCTTACTGACTTAAAAATATATTCTTAAGGAGAATAAGGAATTGAAGGAATGAAGGCATTTGCCATATCATCCCAAGGATTAGAATTAAGTAAGGTTACTGATAAAATTTTCTCCATCTTGAAATGAACATTTTACTGCCAATTCTCACTACATTGGTGTTAGAAACTGAGCACAGGTATCACCAAGGCCCACCTTGACCTCCTTGTGGTTTCCCGATGGCACAAGATTTCTTGTTCTTTCCTCTCTTCTCTGTGTTGATGGGGACCTGGTGCAGTGTCCCCTTTTCCAGTGTTGGAAGGCATATATCATTTGTGTTATAATCTCATTGTCCTGTACCACTAGAAACCTTTAAGAAAAACGCTCATATGAAGTTCTTTGTAGTACACTACCTCAGTTGCAAAAGAAAGACAAGCAGAGAGCTAATTGAAGCAAAGCTCTTGGTAGTCTGCCTTACATACCCATGTCTTTCCATGTAGCCCGAACATGCAATGAGAACTGCAGTAAATTCTTCCCAATATCTTACTATTGTATCTCTTCACACAGTCATTCTGCCTGTGGCTCACATCCAGTAGCTGTGCATGTGTGCTGTGTGTAATTATTGCAAGCCCTTTAATATTCCTTTGATGAGATTGCTATCTTTGGGGCCTTGTGCTTGAATTACTATATTTAATCTGACGCTTGAAATGATTTGTATCTATTAGGTCTGCTTTACGTAAAACACTTGCTCTTTTCTGGTATGAGAACCTCATTTATAGTGGTCGATTAAAGGGGAAGGGTGGTTTGCAGTTTGAGTCTGGAGATAGGCCTGTGTCTGACTCTCGTTCTCTCAGTGATACCCCTAGGGCAAGATATCTTGTCTCCAGCTGTGGAAGTCTTGTTTGCCAAAGGCAGTGTCAGGCTGGGATGGAACTGGTCACAGGGGTCAGGGGGACTCTAAATTGCGTCTCAGCTTCTCCATTTGGTAGCATTTTATTTGGAGCAAAGTTGTTAGTATTCTTGCACCTCAGTTTCTTCGGGATAGTGAGCATAGGAATGCCTATGTGCAAGATTGTAAAGCTGAAATGTGATAATATATACAGGGCAATTCCTATAGTGTTTAGAACTTGGTTAGAATTTGGGGAACAGTAGCACTTTTTTCCTGTTGGAAGGCCAAGGGAGAGTAAGTGAATAAATGGAGGCTTTTCATGCATGGCAGAGTTGGAGTAATTAAGCAAGAGGATCTCAAGTTCAAGCCCAGCTTGGGCAACTTAGTGAGGCACCTGTGTCAAAATTAAAAAAAGAGCTGGGGATATAGCTCCGTGTGAAAGCCCAGAGTTCAAACACACACACACACACACACACGCACTCACTACATAGACAAATGTGCCCTCACATGTCAGTAATACTTCAGTTGTATTTAGAAGGCTCTCAATTTCCCTGTAAGGATGAACAAAATATTTTTTTCAAATACTTTTTGTAATCTTTCTTGAAAATTTTCATTGGTACAGAGAAGGAAATTAGGACTTCTTTACTCAAGACTATCTGAAATTGTGGGAAAGGGTCTGTGGGGAGACAAGGGAGGTGGTCTTAGCAGGCCAGT